TTGGTTCATTCCTGGTTTGGCTGGCTTTTCTGAATGGTGTGCTGGTAAAGTTGTGATGGTAAGCCTGTAAGGATGAAGTCTAACAGGGAGAACCAAAGGAGACTGACTTCAGGGATAATCAGTTTCAGTTGTCAGCTTGATGAGATTTAGAACCACCCAGGCCTTTGCACATGCCTGGGAGGGTTCATTTTGACTAGAGTAACTAAAGTGAAAAGATTCAGTTACTATGGTTAGCACTATTTCCCTGGTTTGTGCTGTGGGATAATGCTCTTGTACCCTGTAAAGATTTGTCACTTGTATTGGTTTAATGAAATGCTGACTGACCAGTAGCCAGGCAGGAAGTATAGATGGGATAACCAGACTAGGAGAATTCTGGGAGGAGGAAAGGCTCAGTCTGCAGTCACCACCCAGACACAGAGGAAGCAAGATGAAAAAGCTGCACTGAGAAAAGGTCACGTGGCTAAACATCGATAAGAATTATGGGTTAATTTAAGTTTTAAGAGCTACCTAATAATAAGCCTGAGCTAATAGGTCAAACTGTTTATAATTAATATAAGCCTCTGTGTGTTTCTTTGGGAATGAATGACTGTGGGACCTAGTGAGGCAGGAACTTCCATCTACAGACTTGTGTCCTGAGAAAGCTGGCTGAGCACTGGCATTCATGGCTCTCTGCTCCTTGATTGTGTATATTGGGGGCCTTGAGTACCAGCCTCAGTAACCCCGTCAGGGCTCAGAATTGGATGTCAATGGCAGGCAAGGATCTGAAAGTAAAAAAATAACTCAAGTACATTACATCTTCTTTATTTTTTGTGCAAGGGGAGAAAATGAAGTGCAGGGGGTGTGGAGGAGAGGAAGAATAAGAAGAGTAAGGGGAAGAACAAGGAGAAGAAATGAGAGTAAGGGGAAAAAGTAGAAGTAGTAAAAAGAAGAAGAGTAAGGGCTGATCTCCACCAGGTTTCTAGATTTTATAGACACAGTTGGAAAATTCCATAGGCAAGGGCAATGATAATATGCATATGAAAATCACTAAAAGGGGCAGATAGAACCTGACGAGGCAGTACTCTGGAACAGGTGGCCCAACCCAGGAAAGAACCAGGATTCAAGGGGAAGCATCTGACATTCCAAACCATTAGATAAAGTTATTAAACACCCCTGAATCCTGGATTCACCCATTCTTGTCATCTAATCTCCTTGGTGATAACCAGCTTTGAGGATGCCCAGATTTGTTTGTTAGCAAAGGTGGGGCATGCTGCCTTCTTGCTCATTGTCTCCATTCTATAGAAATTTCTCTCTGGTCTGTTAGCAGGTAATTTTGTGGGACTGACTCAATGTAAATTTGACTGCTAGAACAGAGTGAATGTCATTGCTCCAAAGCCTCACGATGTTGGGGAATGGAGCAAGGTCATTCCACTGCCCACACAGAAGGTTACACTGCTGAGGTGTTCTGGGAATGAATCCCGTTTTGAAGGGAAGAATCATAGCTTCACAAGGTTTCCACAGTTACGACAGTGACTTTTCCATAAGACAAGTGTTCCCGCAGCTCTGTAAAACAGGTTATTCCATGTGTACGGGTACGTATACACTTCCCGTGGATCTGCCTATTGGTCTGTTAGCCGTGCAGTCACTGTAGAGTCTTGTGGGCTCCAGCGTGTGTATTCTAGTAACCTCACACTGTTACAAACCCTTCCTTACTTAACGTCAGAGTGTTCTATGACAGCAATAGGGAAATAAATAATACGTGGGTTTGGTACTGATAAGTGTGGCCTGTGCTGTGGGAAACCTCAGCACATTGTTCTTAGGCCTTTAGAACTGGCTTGACGGAAGGATGTGGAAGACTTTGGAGGTTGGGCCAGGAAAGTCTTAAATGCTGCAAGCAGAGCTTACACGAGCTATTCTGGTGGGAACCTAAGAGACAAGAATGGCCAGAGACACATGGGCAGTGCAGGCCCAGTCAGGGAACAAGCCCTCCATCAGGAAGTGGGTTGGGCCATTCCTGTGATATTTTGACCAAGAGCCTGTGCTTTGAGAACTTAAGTGAAGTTGAATTTACAGTTGATGGACTAATTTGTTGGATGGGGAAAACTTCAAGACAGGAGAGCATTTAGGCTGGCGCTGAGGAAAAACAGCTGTAATTGTTTCAGAGATGAGCACCAATCAGAGGAGCTTGGCTTTCATGGGGACTGTGGGCAAGGTGTCCTCAGGGTAAAACCTCACCTAACGGAGACTGCACCTTGTGAAAAACTGAATTCATCTGAAGGGAGAAACCACAGGGGCTCTCTGCTCCTCGAAAGCTACTGATTAGAGAAGTGTTTCCCCAGGGTCGTAGGAACTTGCCAGCATCACCCGTGTGACACAAGTTTTACAAGCATGAGGGAGAGAATGAGAGAGACGTGAAGTCCTGCCCCCTAGTTCCAGGCAGTGTAAAAGGCAAGGCAGTGTGGCAGGGTTGGAGTCCCTGCAAGGAGGCCCTAAAGTGGGCACTAAATGTAGAGCCTAAATTACAAGAGAGATGTCAGGATGTTGGGGATGTTACGACCGTGGAATGTGTACCAAGGCAAGCTAGAGGCATAGACTGGAGCTGGTATGAGAAATTCTATATATGCTATCTGCTACAGCCCTGGAGAAGTATGGAAATATGAACCTTTTGAAGCCCAGATGATCTAACCATGAGCTCTAGATGCCAGTTAGGGAGCTTTTCCAGATTTGAGTCTTGCTTTGATCTTATCATTCATTGCTTTGACCCTATTCTTCCTTTTTGGAATATGAATGGTTATTCTGTGCCACTGTATATTAGAAGTATTAAACTTGTTTGTATTCTATAGTAGTTAACAACTAAGTGATTCGCCTCGAGTCTGGAATGAGGAGCAAAGTTTGGATGCTTTCATTGGTGGAACTGTTAGTGATTATAGGGACATTTGAAGTTGGTTTCTATTTTTCATCATGGGATGAACATGAGAGTTTAGGGACAGGAGGTAGAAGGTATTGGCTGAAAGTGATGTAACTGGCTGTCACATTGACAAGGGCTAGAGCTGCAACGGTTAATTTCTATTGTCTTGAGATCACCTAGGAGATGGACCTCTGGGCATGCCTGTGTGCGAGTCTCTTGACCAGTTTGATTGAGATGGGTGAAACCGCCTACCGTGGGTGGCACTACTTTCTGGGGTTGGGTTCTAGACTGCATCAATAGGAGAAAGCTGGCTGAGTACCGGCATGCATTGCTCTCTGCCTCTTGACTCTATGTACAATGTGACCAACTGCTTTATGCTTCTCTCCCTGTGACTTCCCCACCACAATGGACTAGGACTGGTATCTATAAACCAAAATAAGACTTTTCTTCCTTAAGTTGCATTTTCAATAAAAAAATTTTTTTAAGTCACAGAAACAGGGAAAGTAAACAGTGCTTGCTTTTATTTGAGTCAAGATCCTGCTGCATAGCTAAGTCTAGCCTGAATTCATCATCTCTGCTTCCCGAGTACAGGAATGGCAGGTGTGTGCCACCATATTTAGCTTTGATTTCTGGTTTGTCCCACAGCAGGACAAAATCAAAATCCATGCATAAAGTAATTCACTGTAGAAAAATTTTTAAACCAAGTTAAAAAAAATGCTATTCACCAGCATATGGGCACAACTTCACCACACAAAATATTTTTTGTAATGAGGGTATAGTAGGTTTCTGTGAAAGGTTAAATGATATATACTCTTCATTCATCTTCCAGATATTTCCTGAGAGTCAGTACTATTCTAGAGAATGTTTCTGTGGATGGTACGGATACTGCTAGGTGCGGAAGAGATGTCAGTATGAAGCAGTGCTATTCCTCTATGCATCCATCAACTTCAAAGGGGCCAGCAAAAGCTGGAAGAATTCTGAAAAAAAAAAAAAAACAAGCATATGCCTGGAGGTATTGGCGAGGACTTCTGATTAAGACTGCTTAATTTGTATCAGATCCAAAAGCCTGTGGAGGAGGAAGAATTGAACTTGATCACCATAGTACAAGCTTTCACAAGCCTTTCTGAATGAACTGCAAAGTGTGGAGTCTTAGAAGGAAAGCGGGGGTGGGGTCGATAAAAACAGGAGAAGGAAATATGCAAAGTGATGGAAGTCTGCAGGCTGGAGAGGCAAGCATACTAGTGTGCAAGGTTGCTGAACGCTTCTAGGAGGGCCAGGGCAGGTAAGAAGGAACTCGTCGCATTGCTTGCCTGTGGGAAAACCCTCTGGGCTCCGCTGACTGGAGAGACAATACGGGATAAATGGAGGTGGAAGGAGCCAGCACAGAGTGGAGGATGCTGGCAGGAACCCAAGGATATCAAGAACTAAGCAGGAGACTGGAGTGTTTCCAGTGTCGTTCCCACAGGACCATTGCAAAGAATATCTGGGAAGAAAATGCCCAGGAAGAAAATGTTGAATATTTTCTTTAACAAGAGGCAAAAAGGCAAAGGTCAGCAACATCTGGGGTCTGGGAAACATTCATTACAGATGTGAGAATAAAAGTCAGATGCCATATGATAATGAGTGGATATTTAATTGATAGTGCCCATCTCTATCGTTTACATGACTATAATATGTAAATACATTGAGATTGAAATCTTTATTGATATTTTAAAAAGAAGTACACTGTGCTGACAAGATGGTAAAAAATAAATAAAATCCCTTGATACACAGGCTTGATGACATGAGTTTAATGATGGGGATCCGTGGTGGGAGGAGAGAACTAATTCCTTCAAATCTTCTTCTCTTCTCCACACACACGCTGTGTCTACCCACCCATCCAAACCACACGCTAATAAAAGACAAAAAATTTAAAAATGTAAAAGGTTCACACCGGTTGGTCTGACAAATAGCTATAGGAAAAAAAATGCAATGCCATTTCCTTACTGAAAATAGATACAGAAAATATTAGGCTATTCCTTACATGTCAGCGATTTATCCAATCACTTATTTGCTTTAAATAGTTCATGTGTAGATGCTAACTGCCAAGGAAAACCAGGCAAGTAGTTCTTACCTGGTGGTGCTGGCTTGAAAAGTTTCTGAACTACTACTCTGTACATAGACTCATCTTTAACCAACAGCTTTGCTGCTTCCAAATTCACTGGGTTTTCTAGGACAGGATTAGAAAGTAGCCTCTAAAAGAAAGCACATACAACAAACAAGTTCAAAACAAACTTTTCTTGGAATAACAAGACAAGTCAATGCATGTAAACCCAACAAGCATTTAGTGAGTGTAACTGGATGTTTCTCTCCTGCCTGCCAGTTCCTGAATAACCACGCAGAGGCTTAATATTAATTACAAACAGTTTGGCCTATTAGCTGAGGCTTATTATTAACTAGCTCTTATAGCTTAACTGAATCCATTTCTATCATTCTAGATTTTACCATGAGGCTCGTGGCTTGTTACCTCACATCTTCCTTCCCCGGGGACTGCTGGTGTCTAGACATTCTAGGAGACAGGTTTGTAGAGATGACAGAAGATACCGGACGTGCCCAGGAAACTCACTTTATCTTGGTTTTATTGTGTGTATTCATCAAACACTGGGGTCAAAGCAAAAGCTTTTATCCTCTATAACATCCATTCTATCATATAAGTTTAAATTGGATTTTTACGTAAAGTAAGATAAACATTGGAAAACAATAAAAAAGTCTCCCATTACATACTAATAGGAGACTACATTAGATCATGTCGAAACACACAGGTACAAAGGTTGCACACACGTCGCTATCCCTTTTGGTCTTTAAATGATTAATTTAGTACTTATAGTAGCTTTCTGTGATTTCTTGACTACCACAAATTAGCATCTTAAAAGGAACAGTCTTATAATCTGCAGTTTTAGGTGGAAAACCCAGAATGTAGGACTCGTTTCCAGCTTTAACAAGGCCAGAGGCCCAATGTCAACAGGCTAGGCTCTTGTCAGAAGAATCTGGATGGAGCACTTTCCATATTCTTACAAGCATGAGGTTGGCTGAATTCAGTTCCTTTCAGCTGTAGGATTGAGGGTCTCATTATTGTTCAGACTGTTAGCTGGGAGACACCTTCTGCTCCTACAGACATCTCTTCTGTCCTTGCCTTTGATGTTTAGTGCCTCAGAGCCAGCCATGGTGCAAGAGAACCATGCTTAGAATCTGGCCTCTCCTTTGGTCACACCCTTCTTCAGCTGTCCTCCCTCTTCTGCCTCCTGACGTTAAGAGACCACGAGCACCTTGCAAAGTACAGACTAACTTTGTCTTAAGGTGAGTTAACTGATAACCAGAATTCTTTATGTATTCCATTCACAATAGTATGTAGGTTGGTGTTTTGAGGGAATCTTTTTAAAATTCTGCATATCACAGAATCCATATACTTGGGCCAAAACAGATGACCAGTGCTTACCAAAATTGTTGTGCTAAACCATGATTTGCTTATTAGTCACTTCAAAAAATTGTTTCACCCTAAACTAAAAATATTTGTTTATGAATTCAATATTTTGAACATTGCATGTTATAATATGCAGGCTAATAAAATACGGTTAGCAGAATTACTGCATGCCTTACTATTTGTGCTGGTTTGTTTTTGTTTTTCAACTTGACACAAACTGGGGCCATCTGGGAAGAGTGAACCTTAATTGAAGCATTGTCTCCATTTGCTTGACCAGTCAACAAGCCTGTGGCGCATTTTCTGCATTAACGATTGATGTAGGAGGACCCAGCCTACCGTAGGCCATGCCACCTCCAGGCAGGTGGTTCTGGGTTGCAGCAAGCTGAGCAAGCCACAAGGAACGAGCACTTCTCTGTGGACTCCTATAAGCTGTCCTGACCTCCACATGTGTTTCAAAGCCTGTCACCCCCACATAAAGAGACAAATGTAAAATAATAAATAAATCAATGAAAATCATGGAAAGGTCCTATGTGGTGGCACACACCTGGAGAGCTGGAAGCAAGAGATGATGAATTTGAGGCCAATCAGGACGTCATAGTGAGACCCTACCTTAAAACAAACAGAAAAATAGGGCAAGCAAGGGTTCGTGGGTGAAGGTGCTTGCGGCTAAACTTCTCTACCTGAGTTTGAGCCCTAGGACCCACATGATGGAAGGAGAGAAACTTCTCCAGCAAGTTGTCCTTTGACCCTCACGTGCATGCTGCAGGGATGCATGCAGTGAATAATAAATGCATGCAGAAAACCATAAGCAAAATCAAAAACAAAAATACTGAAATTATAGCAGACTTTCTCAAATGAAAGTAATCATTTTGACATCTGATATTTCAAAAGCAACAAGAATTCTCTGCTTTTACTGGAGTTTTCTCTCTGGGAAACACATTCAGCCTGCGTTTCCAAGATCATAATAATTGCCCAAATAAGGATTCAGAGAGGATCCCACCCTACCTTTCAAAGTGGGTGGGAAGCAGAAGAAACTCATTGTTGAGAGCAAAGCTTTGGTCTCTGGCTGGAGAGAATCTTACTCAGCAAGGCGCATCTGGCAAATTTTACTGCATATCTTCTCCTTAACTGCTGTGTGTGAGAGACTTACTCACATGACATGTACACGGCTGTTGCAAGTATTTAACGACTTTTAAAAATTGGCATATTTGTATATACTACTACTATATGTTATTAGTAGATTAGCATGTGTGTAAGTCAGACACACTGCTAAAGGAGCCAAAGAGAACAAAGGCTCAGTCTTTTAAATTAGACTCATGGTGACAGAATTTCAAAAACAAGAGACTCCAGGGATAAACAGAGAATTCTGGATCTTCAGCAAGGGCCTGTAACAATAGAGAGATAGGTTTTATAATATCCATTTGATTACAGCTGATGGTCTTGAAATTTGTTTTATGGATGAGTGTTGATATTTGTCTTTTAGTTTTATGTGGAATTTTCTAATTATTTAAGATTGCATTTATTTTGGTGGGATGGCTACTATTTTTTAAAATATTTTAAACAACATTTAAAGTACCATCTCTATGAAAAGCAACAACATGGTAATTAGAAATATGGTTTTTTAATTCTAAAGAAAGTAAGTAATAATTATGATTTGTGTCTGTATTGTCCGTTACTAGTAAACATTGGTAAAGGGTAGTGGTTTAAATGAAATTACTAAAGAGTAAGTGAGAATTCAGCTCCTTGGCACATTTCAATCAGGCTACAGGCTGGTCCAATGGAAAACAGTTTGGGAAACAGTACGTGCATTGAAGTGCCATAGTTTCGGACAGAAATCTAAATATAGTCGGGTACCTGGCAAAGCCAGTGCCCTCCAGACCAATGCCATAAATTCTGCCCTAGGAAAAGGAATCAGAAAAGGCATATGAGAAGGGGAGGTGCCTGACCTGTCTGGGGTATGACGAGCCCCTTGGTTGATGGGCAGTCTGGAGAGCAGGGAGGGAGGTGGGTGGCCATCTGTTGGAGAGCTGGCCAAGCGTTACTCGAGGTTCAAGCTTTGCTGTTTCCATCTCTGTGAGTTCTTTCGCATCAGAAGTACATCAAGCAATGTGAGTGCAGAAAAGCATGGGGATACAAACAGAAGCAGGATCCCATAGCTGAGTGTGAACCTAAGTGCAAAAAGCAGGTCCTCTGCTCTGGGGCAGAGGAGAACGTAGGAGGCAATGGATGATTCTAACAGAAACTTAGAAGTAAGGGTGGGAAGGAAACATATATAGCATTGGAGTTACAGTTTTCCTAGATATGTATCTGAACTTGTATACATTATATATTATGTGTATGTCTGTGCACCACATGTGTACCTAGGGGTCTGCAGAGGCCAGAAGAGGGTGCTGGATCTCTTGGAACTGGAGATTCAGACAGCTATGAGTCACCATGTGGGTGGTGGGAACCTAACCTGGGTCCTCTGCAAGAGCGGCAAGTGCTCTTAAACATTGTGCCATCTCTCCAGCTCCATGTCTCTATCAGAAGACACGTTCACACGGGCAGATGTTCAGTACATGTTAATAGAATGAATGAATGAATAGAAGACACGCTCACACGGGCAGATGTTCAGTACATGTTTACAGAATGAATGAACTGAATCTTGTTACAGGTCAACACTTTACTCGGTCTGCTAAGATGATTCACCACAATACTAACTTTTATTTTCAGGAATAGAAAATAGAAATTATATTATAATTCTGGTGGAAAAAAAAACGAATTATCTTAAAAATTATCCTCCAGGTATTCCAGATGGTCAAACTTTAATAATTTATCACCAATATTCTTGGTGACAAACAGATTCCTGGGGGGATATTGTTCAGCTTCTCTAAACAGTCAAAGCAATGTTACTGTAATAATTAATTTTAGCATTAGATGAAAAAGGAGGACATGGGGCTGGAGAGATGGCTCAGTGGTTAAGAGCCCTGACTACTGTTCCAGAGGACCCGAGTTCAATTCCCAGCACCCACATGGCAGCCCCAAACTGTCTGTAATTATAGTTCCAGGGTACCTGACACTCATGACAATTTAAAAAAGAAAAAGAAAGAAAGAAAGAGAAAAAGAAAACGAAAAAGGACACAAATGGATATATGTTTAAGAACATGAGCCCAGCAGTGAATGTGGCATTTGAGAACCATTGACCTGAGGAGAGAGTATCTTTGGTTTCATTATTCAACAGGTTTGGTATGAACATTTAGGAGAGAGAGAGAGAGAGAGAGAGAGAGAGAGAGAGAGAGAGAGAGAGAGAGAGAGCAGCTGAAAGCTGAATATTCTAAGGTGTAGCCAGTGACTCACCTCTCTAGGAACAACTCTAGAGACATGTTCACTGATAGAAGCTGAAATAAAGCCCGGATGTATGTCTATAATTCACACCATCTCAATGGTTCCTTTCTTCTTTTATAAAATGCAAAGGGCTTTAACTATCAATTTCAAAATAGGTCTGCAGCTAAAGATCCACTCCTCAGTTCCCAATGAAGAAGTTTTGATTGCCACTAGCCAGCTCGCTCAGATCCTTTAAGCATTTAAATATGCTGTGTACACGTTAACCCTTGTGTGATAATGAAGTGGGAGAATTCAATGTGTTAAAGCATTAAGTTAGGCATGGTGGTATATGCTCGTAATTCTAGTCCCCAGGAGATGGAGGCAGGAGAATCATGCATTTGAGGTCAACCTGGGGCTACATAGTGAGGCCCCATCTCAGAGAAGAAGAGAGAGAGAGCGTGCATTACAGTAACTGTATTCTTACCTGTATAGCATGTAAGATGCTGAGTATTGTGTAATTTGTGTTCCAGCTGTTCTGGTTGTCCAAAAAATGTATACTGGGCCGACCGGTATGTGGGTCTACTGTATTAAAACAGCATATTAGTTTTAGTATTCAAAACTTATAAAGCATCATAGTTTATGAATAATTGACCAACTCTTCTTCCTTTCTTCCTGTTTCATATAATGATAATCACTGCACGGCTCTCCCACGTCCACCAGCTTTAGCTGATTAGAGGCTCCTGGTGCAGTAATTTGATATTATACATTTCAAATACAGTATTTATTTTTGAGGCTCATGTGTAAGTGTGTATGTGTGTGATTGACATGTACATGTGCGTGTGGGTGTGCATGCCTGTAATACCTAGAAGTCAGAGGAGGAGGTCAGGTACTCTGCTCTATTAGTCTTCGTCTTGCTTCTTTGAGAGAGGGTCTCTCATTGAAACTGGTGTAGGTTTGTGGTCAGCAAGCCCCAGCAATCCCCTTGCTCACAGCCCCTCCCTCCGCAGGGCTGGCGTTATAGGTGTGGGTGGTCATGGCTGGGTTTCTCTATGCCTGCTCGGGATTTGAAGTCAGGTCCTTATGCTTGCACAAGCCATTTGCCCAGTTTCAAAACTGGATTTTAGTTACAAAGATAATAGTGGACTATGGAGAAAAAGGGTAAACAAGAAAATGTAAGGCAAAACCGGAACATTCCCCGCCTATCAATTCTACTCTTATGCCACATGGATCTACAGACTTCCATCTGTTTACCTCTAAGTGCTCATGTGTTTATTATGTGAGAGGAGACTTTGATATTTTATTTTCAAGGTGTTCTTTTCACTTAAAATAAATTGCAACCTATTTCTAGCTGCTTTTATTTATTAAAATTTACTTGCATTCATTTATTTGTGTGTGTATGTGTGTGCATGCGTGTGTGTGCATGTGTGCATGTGCATGTGTGTGCATGCGTGTGTGCGTGTGTGTGTGCACATGCACATGAACTTCAGTATATGTCTAGAGGTCAGAGGACAACCTGTGGGAGTTGGCCTTTTCCTTCCACCATGTGGGTTCTGGGGCTTGTCAGGTTGCTCAGCAAGTCCCCTCCGTGCTGGATCGCTTTACTGGCCCTTGAGATATGCTTATTAAAAAGATATGTAAGCACCTACTATGTGCCAAGCAATGATGATTCTAGGGACACTGCAGTGACCAAGAAAATCCAGCTTTCATAGTCTTCCTTTTCTATATAGAGGAAAGATGTAGTCTTAGAGTTTTACTTAAAAACTTCCTGTGGTTAAAAAAAAAAAAAAAGGATTCCTATGTCAACGGGTATTGTCATTATAGTGGGATCCCTGTATGCATTGGTTTTGAATCCATGGATTCAAATGAGTATCAGAAATAGTCAGAAAAATTAGCATTCATATTTAACTTGTGTGGACATTTTCCTTGTTATTATTTATGAAACAATACAGAAGCACAGCCATGCACATGGCGTTTTCATTGTTAAATAATTCAGAGATGATTTGAAATGCATGGGAGAGGCTGCCGCAAGGCCATGGTTAAATCTACTGTGAATGATCATCTTTCAATGGAGCATACTTTTGTGCTACTATATCTAACAGGATAGTCTATAAACCTGGGAATTTGGCCTGTAGGATATGTGGATTTTATATGTGATTAGAAAGTGTCAAGTCTCTTCCCTAAAAGGTCACCCTTATGGCAGGGGAATAATGTCTGCCCAAGCCCACTAGAATTGAACTTTAATGTCTTTTAATGATCTGTAAGTAGAGGTGATGAATCACGATATGTTGTGTTTTAATTTTTATCTATTTTCTTCACAACGAGATTGTTTTGTTGTGTTCTGTCTATCCAGTGTTTGTTCATGGGTTTCACACAGCTTTCTGCTAGTTCACAAGGGTTCTTTATGCGGTATAGATATTCTGTCCTGTACCATGAATGGTCCCTGAGTCTTCAGAATACAGTTCTGTTATTTTTTTTAGCTTGTTTATGATGTGCATAGCTATAGAGGTTTGTAAACATTTATATGTTTACATTAGTATCACGGAAAGGCCCCTGTACAAGCCCACAAACAGTTAGTTACCCACACTGTCTTCTATCTTAGACCCCCAACTAAAGAAAATGCAAAGCTTCAGGCAATCCCTTTATGGAGAACTCAGCAGAACAATCTAACATATTTCTATCCCAAAGATTAAGTTGTCTGGAGTATTGTTTTTATAAAATTCAACTAAAATAATAAATGATGCATGAACATGTGGACTATCCAGCCATTTAAAATGATCTTTGACAGATGTATGAAAATGCAGGAAAGGGGCTGGGGAGATGGCTCGAGAGACTTGCTGAGTTTGGTTCTCAGCACTCACGCTGGATGGCTCATAGCTGCCATCTCCAGGGGGCCCGAAACCCTCTTCTCTCCTCCACTGGTACCACACTTATGCGCACAACCACCACCCCTTCACACACACACATAATTAAAAAGAAGAAGTTTTAAAATGCAGGAAAACGACACACTATCTAAACTAAAGCCAAATCCAAAACTCTATGTGACAACTCAACTATGCAGAAAACTGTACACAGGAAAATGAGGAGATATGGTGAAATATCAAAAATGTTGTTTTACTTACTACTCGGATTCAAAGACATTGCCAATTTTTCTGCCTTTTAAAGTTTCTCCAATGAGTATTCTTACTTTAACTGTAAGTTGCTAAAGGGGACCATGGCTATTAAACCCTATCCCCCACTAAAAAGAATCGCATAGACAAAGTCATAATAATACAATATTAAGAGTCTCACTTCGTTCTTACCATTTGGATGGAAAGGAATTGTTAGAAATTTCACAGCTGGAGGAACAAGGTTGTACTCTGGTGTAAAATCTATTGTCAAGTGGAAAAGAAATCCTGTAATACAGAAATAATGATGCCATTGACGTGTTACGGTTAGCTCTAGCCTGATTGAACACTCCCTCCCTCCATCCCTGGCACACTGCCTCCTCTCATTGGCTGATCTCCTCCTTCCCAGAAACTGCAGCAACCTTTCCTGCCTGCAACATGAATGTCCTTCTCCTTTAGAGTTTGGCTTGTACTCATGTGTCAACTCAAATGTTGCTTCCTTAGAAAGCCTTCCTGACTCCTGTGCATGGAATTGCTAATCCACCTCCCCTTCTTGGCATTCTCTCCAAGATCCCTAGCAGCGGATAGGATATTTATATACTACATACATACAAACATATATATATACACACGTACATATATGCAGTGTATAGTATATAGTATATTTTACTGTCGTTGTTGCTTTATATGTTTGTCTTACCCATTTTGCCCAAAGAATCTCTCCTAAATAAATAACTGAAATAACTCAGAATTACTAAAGTTTATAGTGGACCAGTTTCCTTGAGGATTTGACTTCTGGAAATTTAGGGGAAAATTACAAAGGGAAAACCAAGAAATAACTGTGGAATGCTGAAGTCAACAGGAATTTTGATAGGTATTCTCTGATCTCACGGAGACTATTGGCAAATATTCTTGACAAATATACTTTATTGTGTTCGCTTCTTAAAAATGCAGTAACATGGGACTGGAGAGATGGCTCAGTGGCTAAGAGCACTGGCTGCGCTTCCAGAGGACCCAGGTTCAATTCTCAGCACTCTCATGGCAGCTACAAAAGCCTGTAACTCCAGTTTCAGGGGATCCAACACATTCACACAGACATACATGCAGACAAATCACAAATTCTATTACATAAAAATAATAAATACATTTTTTTGTAAAAGAAAAACAATACAGTAACATGAGGGACTAAGAGTGAGGCCATGGAGTTGTCCTCAGTCCCCCCCACTCACCCACCCCCTCTGGAGACATTGAATTTGGAAACACGAACCTTCCCAGATGGAATTCTGAAACCCTTCAATCTGAGCTTCCCAGCTCATCATGTCTTCTCTTGTAGGAAAAGCAATGATGCCCTGTCATTAAAAAATAAAGAAAGAAAGAAAGAAAGAAAGAAAGAAAGAAAGAAAGAAAACAGACTAAAATAGTCTTTGTATCTTTGAAAATCAGATTCTGGAGTTCAATAAATTTCAACATTTTGACTTTTTTCTTAGAGTTTATTTGTTGATGTGGGGAGGAGGTATTGCTTGTCTTAAAGTAGATGCCAGGAAACACTTGAAATAATAGTAAATTAAAAACCAATTGCCAAGAGTAGAAATCACTAGTGGGACTGGGAAATAAGGACTGCATATGTGGAGGGCGTGGCCATTTAAGATCCCAATGGGAAAAGGAGGAAATGGTTGGGGACTGGAAAGCATGTGTTTCCTGAAAGTTCCTGAAGATGATGGATGCCATATGGAAGGTAGGATGTAGGGTCATTTTCACTAAAAAGTCTAAACTCAAGTCCATTGTATTTACGAGTTGGAGTTTTATGTGTAAGAGAGAACATAAAGCTTCTTGGGAAATATTCTCTTAAGGTGTGTGACTTTTGTTTACGCCATACTTGTTTAACTCCGTGAAGCTGTGATTCTTTGCCTGTCTAAAACACATGATGGTCCTAATAAAGAGCTGAGTGGTCAATAGTGAGGCAGAAACGAGGACAGGCAGGACTGGCAAGCAGAGAGAATAAAGGGAAGCAGAAAAGAGGAGAGGAGGCACGAGAGAACAAGGGAGGAGGACGTCAGGGGCCATCACCCAGCCAGTCACGGAGTAAGAAGGAGAGTAAGGTACACAGGAGGAAGAAAGACAAGAGCCCAGAGGAAAGGGTGGACAGGTTAATTTATGGTAAGAAAAGCCGGCAAGAAACAAGTCAAGCTAAGGCCGGACATTTATAAGTAATAATAAAACCTGGTATGATTTATTTGGGAGCTGGGTGATGGTCTCCCAAAAAGCAAAAGGAGCAAAAACAACATGCAACAAAAGCTAATTGTTTGTCTAGTTCTAACTCTGCCATTTTTTTTGTTTGCTTTTGGTAATAGATAAATGCATTTAAACTACGTTCAATAGTGAAAGTGTAAAACCCAGTGTGAAGCTCCACAGCCTCTTTTCTGAATGACCGTTTTAATTGTGTGGAAGTTCATTGGAATGTATGTACTTTTGGTTTGGTTAATTTTGGTGTGTGAGTTTTCTACATTAAATTTTATAAAATTGATTTAGGAAAATAAAATAAAAATTCCCACGTTACTCTTGTATATAAAAACAAACTTTTCCTACATTTAAGTATTGTTCCTATGGAGATTCAAGAATGTGCTTCACAGAAAACCGTGACAGCTATGCTGAGTATACTTTTATGTTCGGCAAATTCTTTCTGAGCCAGCGTAGTGAATAAGTACATGAGGTGACTCTCAAAGCAAACGCTGTATTTGTCTTTCTGCATTATCTGCACTGCTATAACCCAGCACTCGATTCTTTTATGCCGGAGAACAACGTTTGGACTGAACAGAAGTGTTATTCGACAGGAGGTCCATGCATCTGTAATGTTTATATAGTTGACCCGAAGCATCTCCAGAGGGTTTTTTAAAATTGTGTTTATAGTGGGCGTGAAATGGAACGTGTATTCTGAACCGTCACCAACAGAGCTATTGTTGGGACCACGGCACACACTCTTCTAAGGATGGCGTTGTTTCTGTTTTTACAAGGCTTTTCCCATTTCTCCCTCTCATTCATTTTTCATTTTCCATAAATAAGCCCATGGCACAAATGAACGCCAATAACTTCACCGGGGGCACTGGGGCAAAGGGTATTTTTTTTTTCTGCTGCATTAATATTAGGAGGCAAAGACACCTATGCCTTGTGTTGGTGAAAGAAAAAAGTCCTAGGGAGTATGTAGCGGAACACAGATCGCTAAACAAATGCTCAGAAAGTGATGGAGTGGATCCTGGGGTACAAATCTACACTGAATCTTTCTGAGTGCTAGCTTGCGGGTAGGAAAAAGAAAGGCTACTTAGTTTACAATATTAATGAGTATGACCGAATCTGTCAGTCACTCCTTGACACTCTGATGCCCAGGGTTTCGACTTAGAGAAAGCACCCCTCACAATGTACTTACAGTTGTTACCCCTCATGACTTTGAAACAGTAGTTATAATTCTGGAATAGTGTAGTGGGAAAGTTGGTGAGCTAAATCATGGCTTATAGAGTAAGTACGGACTAACCTGCTTCTTAAACAGCCTCGCGGGATGAAGCAGAACCCTCCACGCCCTGTACTTACCTCATTTCTCTTGTTCCGTAACTCCTTGAACTCTCTTTCCAGCAAGATGTGAGCTCTGGAGTACATGCTGAGGCGGCCACCTGCCCCTGAACTATCCCGTTTACTCTGGGGCAGAGCTCATGACAGGGGTCTCAGGTCATCCTCTGACCCCTGGTTAACGGTTACTAGCTCTTCAGTTAAATGACCGCTAAGATTACGATTTAACAATGACTTTCTTTCCCTCCTCTGACCCTTCCAAGTGGGGACTTCTAGAAGGAGGACTGGAGTCCTTCTTATCTGAGGTGTCTCACTGCCAGCCGCCACCCCCCCCCCCCAAGATAAACTCGGGGAACCACTTGAAAGACCGCGTATCGGCACGTGAAGACGGAAAGGAAAGGGCAAGCCTGAAGCAGCGCTGGCAAATTCTCTTTTACCTCACAGGTGAAAGAAAGCTGGGTCAGCTCAGCTCGACTAAGGAAACCAGTTGCTAAGCAACAGGCCTCTGAAGGAGGTGCGGCGTGGAAGTTGTCGGCTTTAGCTACGGGATTGTAAATCTTCTTAGCCAATCGATGAACAGTGTCAGTGGGGAAGGCCAATGAAGTCAGCATTCAAGACGACAATCCCCGCCTTTCAGTGAACCGGGACATCGAAGGCTGTAGAGGGCCTTCCCGGTGTCCCACGACTTGAACTGTAAATTGCAGAAGCCTCTCGAGAACGCCTGCTCACCGTGAGCCTTTCTCTTTGACTGTCAGGGACAGTCAACTACATGGCTGGTACCCAAAGCTCATCACTCAGCTGCCTTTCAAACTACAACCCAAACCATTCCTGCTTCCTAGCTAGGCTTCTACCCCAATTTATTCATTCACGTCTTTTGCAGGCTGGATAGCTGAAAGCAACCCCAGCCCTCCTCTTTAGAGCTTGCACACATTCACTGGACTTCACTCAAGTTAACCGCTTTGTCTCTCCTAGACACAGAACATCCTCTCCTGGGACCAGTACCGTAGACTGAAACTAATACGTGAGCTTATGTGTGCTGATTAAAGAGCTCTGATGGGACCTTGCTACCTCCCCAGATCATAATGCCTCCGTCTTCATTATTTTAAAGGTCATCTTTGCATATGATTACCGTGTTCCCACCACTGGTTTTCTTCCCCACTCGAATATAAATGCTTTTATTTCCTTCGCTGTGCAGAAGTTTTTTGATTTCATGAGCTTGACTTGTCAATTGCTGGCCTTAATTATTGAGCAAATGAGTCCTCTTCAAGAAATCCTTTCCTACACCAATATCATGGTGGGCGCTGGTCAAGTTTTCTTCTAGCGGTTTCGGTCTTCAGTCTTCCATCTGTTTGGAGCTGGCTTTTGTGCACGATGATAGATATGGGTCTAATTTTATCCTTCTGCACGTAGGCGCCCAGTTTTCCCAGCATCATTTGCTGATGAGCTTTTCTGTAGTGAATCTTTCTTATGTCCTTGTTAAATATTAAGTGGCTGAAGTTATGAGTGCTCATGTTCGGGTCTTTAGTCCACTGGTCTACTTGTCTGTTTTTGTGCCAATACCGTATTGTTTATTACTGTAGCTCAGCAATGGATCTTAAGATCTGGAATGGTGATCTCTCCAGCACTGTTCTTTTGCTCAGGATTGTTTTGGCTATTCAGGATCTTTTGTGGTTTCATGTGAATTTTAGGATAGCTTTTTCATGTTTCTGTGATGAGTGAGATAGGGGTTTTGATTGAGATTGCATTGCGTCTGGAAATAGCTTTAGTAGAACCATCATTTTTTTGCTATTCTATTAATCCATGACCATGGGATGTCTTTCCATTTGCTAGTGTCTTTATCTCTTTCTTTAGAGGTTTAAAGTCTCTTCTTTGCAGAGGTCCTTCACTTTCTTGGTTAGGTTAATTCCTAAATATTTTATTTGAGGCTATTGTGAATGGGAGTGTGTCCACGATCCCCTTCTCTGATTGTTTGTTGTTGTGTATAGAAAATCTGTTGATTTATGTAAATGATTCTGTATCTTGCCACATTGCTAAATTTATCACTTCTAGAAGTTTTCTGGTAAAATTTTTGGGATTGTATAGTATCATCTCTACTGTAGTATTATTCATAAGAAAGGGATAATTTGCTTCTTTGTTCCCTATTTGTATTCCTTTAATTTCTTTTTCTTTCTTCTTTTTTTCTTTATTGCTCCAGCTAGTTATTTGAGTACATATAGAAAAGAAGTAGAAATAGTGGAATGATATTTGCCATTTAGGATAATGTTGGCTATGCATTTCCTATATATAGCTTTGATTGTGTTGAGGTATATTCCCTATAGCCCTATATTCTCTGTGCAAACACCACAAACCTTTCCCCTAGAGATCTTTTGTCCTTTCAGGAATGAACCAGCTGTGTCAAATATATCACATGGAGTACAAGAGATTTGCAGAGGGAAGTCCTGCTCTCTCTTCCTGTCCTCCATCATGTCGCATGATCAAGGTGAAAAGGAGAACCCCATGCGGGAACTTCGCATCTGCAAGCTCTGCCTCAGTATCTGTGTTGGGGAGGGCAGAGACAGACTGACCTGGGCAGCCAAGGTATTGGAGCAGCTCACAGGCGAGACACCTGTCTTTTCCAAAGCTAGCTACACCATGAGGTCCTCCGGGTCAGGAGAAATGAAAAGATTGCTGTTCACTGCACTGTCCGTGGAGCCAAGGCAGAAGAAATTCCGGAGAAAGGCCTGAAGGTGTGGGAGGATGAGTTACGGAAAAATAACTTCTCAGATACTGGGAACTTTGGCTTTGGGATTTCAGAACACATTGACCTGGGCATCAAATATGACCCAAGCATTGGGATCTATGGCTTAGACTTCTGTGTGGTGCTGGGCAGGCCAGGTTCAGCATGGCAGACAAGACAGGCTGCATTGGGGCCAAACACAGAATCAGCAAAGAGGAAGCCATGTGCTAGTTCCAGCAGAAGCGTGATGGGATCATTCTTCCTGGCAAATAAATTTTATCCAAAAGGCAAATAAAATTTTTCTCAGAAAAAAAAGATTTGCAGAGAAGAAATTCATCTTTAAAGTTGCCATCATTACTATGCCTCATGCAAACCAGTAACTGTGAACAGTTTGCAACATCTAGGTTCATCAAGTTGGACAGTAAATATTGGAAGTGGAGCATATTTAATTTCCTGGATTACCTGATGAAGACTATCAGCAGATGCTGAGCAGTGGTGGTGCACACCTTTAATCCCAACATTCAGGAGGAAGAGGCAGACAGATCTCTGGGTTCAAGGCCAGCCTGGTCTAGTTCCAGGACAGCCAGAGCTACACAGAGAAGCCCTGTCTCAAAAACCAAAAACCAAAAAAGCAACAACAAAAACAATGTAGCAAGCAAAGTAATGACTAACAAGGAACAAAGAATTAGGTGACAGATAATAAGACATCAGATCAGAAGCTCAGACTTGGTATCCAGTGGACACATACCTGTTCTTATCCAGACAGGGTCTTTAGATAAGGAAACTGCATTCAGTTGGGTAACAAATTTATAAATGGAGAATGCTTGTTTTTCCCAGCCGCTCAGACCTGAATAAACACACAGAAACTATGTTAATTATAACACTGCTTGGTCAATAACTTAGGCATATTCCTGGTTAACACTTATATCTTAAATTAACCCATTTCTATTAATCTATGTAATGCCATGAGGCTTACCTGGTAATATTCTGGTGGGCATCTTTCTCCTTCGGCAGTTACATGGCATCTCTTTAACTCTGCCTTCTCTCTCTCTCTCTCTCTCTCTCTGTTTTGATCTCCCATCTGACTTTCACTCTGCTAAGCCTTTGGTCCAAACATTTATCTTTTTTTAATTTAGTAATTATCTAATAAAAGCAACATATATACAGAAGGACATCCTGCACCACAAATTCGTCTCTGATCATTACTTGACAATGTCTTTGACTGCTGGCTGGCAACAGCAAATCCCCAGCAATGGTAAGTTTCAAAGCACTGGTGATTCTGAGTACTGGTGATTCTGAGTGTCATCAAATATGAAGCTTCAATAGCTGCTATGTTTTGTTCATGGTACTTGTCACTAGTATCAAATCTGGCTTTCTTGAGTAAAGGGACCAGTTTTTGGTAGGTGACACCCCAAGACCAAGTTCTTAGCACAAAGGAGATTTATTTGCCCCAGAGGAAAAAAGGGCAGGGAAATAGAGACAAAAACAGGAGATAGAAGATGATGAAGAAGGGAAAGGGAACAAGGGAGAAGGGATGGGGTATTTGTCCCTAGGGACAAAGAACTGCCTCTAGATAGAGAGGAGACTTGTGTGACCCCGTAGTCAAATGTCAGCTTATAAAGGTAAAAGGGGAGCCCTCATTCCCTTAGGATGGGGTGTTTTGTTTTGATTGGGCAGACTAATTAGGTGATTCAAAGGGGGCTTTTGAGTTCTGGATGACAAGTGGACTTTGGTAGTCATTCTCAGGGGGAGGAAGTGTCCAAATAAGGAAATAGACCTTTAAGAATATAATCGAATGGTTCTTAGCAAGGCAGAGGGAATGGAGAAAAAGGGTAAACCCTGCCAGAGTCATATTTGCCATACTTGGATTGGCTAGAATTCCTTCATCAGTCCATCAGCTTTGTTTCTGTATATGTTTCTATGTTATATATATTATATTATATTATA